AGAGCCGCATAAAGTGAGTCTAGCTGTTAATACAATTAGAACAGAGATGAAAAAAATGGGGGCCAGCCAGCATAAAAGGATCCATTCAAGAACCTTCTGATTTGTCATTACTGAATGATACTCCAGTGGTCTGCATATTGCCACATACCTGTCATATGCCATTACCGTTAATGTTGAAATTTCACACAGGGCAAATGAATAAATGACAAATATCTGAATCATACATCCAGAATAAGAAATCACATGATCTTCAGCTAATAAATCATACATGAATTTAGGGTAGAATCCAGCAGTGCCATAAAGTGCATTTATACACAAATTGCATATAAACATATACATCGGCTCGTGAAGCTTCTTATATGAGATTATAGTGAAAATTACAGTTACATTACAAAACACCATAAGAGGATAAAACAGTGCAGTGAAAGAAAAAAACACAAATCTGTTTTCCATTGTTTCATTAAGACCTGAGAGTGTAAATACTAAGACACTGGTCTCATTCTCCAGTGATGGTTGCACCTGGAATGATACCGGGTAATGGAATATCAAAATAAGTAAATATTTGTTTTTCTTTCTCCAGTTGCAAAACAATTGAAATCTTACCATGTTCTCTGTTGGCATGTTTCCTGTAGTGTTTTGTAAAGGTTCGATTTGGTTTGCTATATATGGACACTGGTCTCATGCTAATTGCCTTGTCCACAAACATTGAAAACTGTTTTAACAAGCTCTCTAAAGACTTTTTTTTGCTTTTAGTTAAAATGACTGTCCGTCTATGCCAATCTGTGCCTACAGGTTTTACTTCTGTACAGTTTAATTTGCCATTCATGTTTCAGCCAATATATCAGATCCAACACTACAGAATTATGAAACCTGTAATACACAGTTTAACAACATGGTTACTTTAGTTCGTTCAAAAGGAATGTAATCCTGTATTATGTTTACCTGGTTTCCTGCACAAATAAGTCATACAATTCTTGATGATCTCATGTTTAATTGTTCTGTTGTCACAACAATAGGAAAAAATGTGCTGTTTAAAAAAAATTGCCCCGTTTTTGTCTGCAAGCTCAGACTGTGTGTGGGAAACAGGCCTTTTGCAGGATCCCATTGGCCAGTTGGAATATATTATGAAATTATATTGCACTGACTGGGTACATAAGAATCAACTCTAACAGAGCCGCCACTTGTAACTTGTTATCATGGCCCTTGTCATACAGACCAGAGCTCGACTCCAAGTTCACAATCAGATGAGTAAAAAATAATTTCTTTCTAAAGACAGAAAGAAAAGAAAAAGTCAAACCTTTATGTGTAGTCTTTCATAAAAAAGTAAATAAAATATGAATACTTCTGCACTGTCATCATTATCTGTTGGGCATACATTTTTTGAAATTGAGATTAATTTTGTTGCATCAAAAGTTTGTTTGGTGATCTGAAAAATGTGTATGTTGAGAAGACGTGTGACCAGACGTGTGAAGCTTAAAGCATCACAAATGGACCTCTTTGCTGAAAATCAAAGATGGAGGAAGCACTTATTGTCACACAATTCTGTTTTATATGACAA